ACAGCACGATTGTGATCTACTCCCCTTTTCAGTCCTCCCTCCAGCTTACAACAGCCACGGGCCTTAAACCCAGAATCAACCAGCTGGTTCTGGCTTGAACGTTGCTCTTACCTTCTCACGTGTAGCATATCCTTGGGTCGTGGGGTTTACCCCCTTCACTGTATTCACTCACGTGTAATAAAAGGACTAAAAATCCAAAGAAAAACTTACCTTTGGGGGTGTAGGAACGACTACGAGCGGGCGTGTCATTCTGTGGCTCCAAGGGAGACTGTGAGCGAGACCTATGATCACTTTGTTCAGATGCCGATCGGGATGGTGACCTCGAGTTACGCTTTGGTGACTCATTTTGAAATGAATCCTCGCGATTTCTACCAGAAGGTGAGCGAGTTGGCGAACGGCTTTTATCCACATGGCCATTTGGAGACTGGGAGACAGACCGCTTATTATTTGCTGATGATCTGTGACGAGAGGGCGGACTCCGTCGCTCAGAATCGTGGGAATGCTTTGATCGAGATCGAGATCTCTTAGGATTGTCATTGCGGCGTGTTAAGCGTCGGTCAGGTTTATGAGATGGGGTCCTGGAGCGATCTCTCGCAGTTCTCGATTTTTCGGTCTTTCGACGATCTCCAGATGGAGATCTCGTAACGGACCGCCTCACAGGCTCTCGATCACGTCGTTTCTCGTAGGATCGTGAGATAGAACGCCTTCTTCTATGACGGTCATCTGTGGGAGACCTGTAGTACAATGTGAGAAAACAAAAGAAACCTTACCTTCGCCTGGAAGAAGACCGGCGGGAGCGTGAGTAGCGTCTCGGAGAAGGTCGTCTCCGGAAACTGCGAGACCTCGAGCGCGACCTACCCTGACGTCTGAAAATAAAAGGTGAAAATGACCAACAGTGGATGATTAATTCAAAAATGTTATGTCGAATAACGACGAAAACAGGTTTGTTAACGACTAAGTCGTCTGAGAAGAGTCAATACAGACGATTTCTCAGTCCGTCTCTCCAACATTACATTCGACAGTGGTGAGCGCTCTGATATCAAATCCAGACCACTGCCTTTTTCACGCTGTTCCCACAGGAAAAGAACACAAGGCCCTCGTAATGATGTCCCCCAGTCAGGGTATTCTATATTGGCGGTTGTAGATTCCTCAAGAAAATTCACCTGTTTTGGCCCGGGCAACCTGGCAGTGTTCCGCCCCCATAAAAATTAATGTACCATGATGTTTGAGTCTGGATATGTGAATATATATATACTTTCTGGGTACAAGTATATGAATGAACTGACAAAGATTACCGGATACGCATGCCTGACGAGCGGCAAGAAACGCGAAACCGGTCGTGTGCTTTCAAAGGAATCTTGTCCAGTCATTCACATGCTAATTATTATGAAGTATATATACATATATATAGCAGTAACTGGCTTCGCCAGTGCCGACTCAACATCAAGCCCATTATATAGAGGTACTTCATATTTCATCACTGCGAGAGCGTTAGTTAGGTTGATTCAGGGTCCACAACTGATGTTCCTTACAATGCACCATACAATGTCAACTAGTAACCCAGAGTTTTTAGTATTAAGTATCAATCCAACAACGTGAAACAGTCCAACGACACAAAGAGGGTGATCAGTAATGGTTGGTGAAAGTCATGCGCCGACCACGAACTGTGTACAAGATCAACTAGCACAAATGACTTCTTGCATTGAACTGTTGACAGATCAAGCAAAGCCAATCTTACATGCAAACAACGAGTAGTCAAACTGCGGGAGCAGCTTAGCAAATTCCGTGATCATGTCTATTTCCTGGGTTTACACCTGTCATAAACCGGTTCACTCACCCTTATCCCCTATATTGTACACCACAAAAGATTACAAAAAAGACCTGCAAATTTGGGATCATAAGCGATCCGCTATCATCACCACTGAATTTCATCCTCGATTGCTCTACTAGCGCGGTTAACAAGTTATAACAAACAGTATCGCCCCGAATCGGTAAGTCCCTTTGCCCGACGCGTTCGGATCGCTTTAAAGAAGCTTGAAAGTGCCTCATCCTGAAGCAGCACTGTGGAGCGAAAAGCTCAGCTTCTTTACATTGTTCATATCTGGTGACACTTCAGACTGTATGAAAGATCGTGTTCCCCAATTTATGACTAAGGGCAGCGTTGCTCTCTGTAAATTGTCTAGGTAATCCGTTATATATAGGCTCCGCGGCATCAGTGTTCGTTTCTGGTTGCTGGTCACTCAAAGTGATATAGTTGTCTTGAAACAACTGATATATCACCAGTCAGTGCCAACTCCATATCCGCGGCAGCTAAACGGCGTACTTCCAACCCGTTGCGTGACTATTTTAAATAATATACCTGTGTGATTAACAGAAGACGGGTAAATCGCCCTAGTCACGAGTATCTGCTATTGAGTGATGGAAAATGATAACCCTAGACACGGGACTTCGAGTAGCTTACCACCCAAGGCCCCGCTAGAATAGGATTTCGGTACAGAAAAATTAAGCCAACTTGGAGGAAAAGATAAACGAAAACCCGGCATAACTGATGTCTTAGACTGGCGAGATTGTATGGGCGAAAACAATAAAAAGAGAACAAATCGCATACTTAACTCAGTGCTGCATAGTGCCACAGACATAAAACGAAGGCGGAGATTTCAAGGCGTTCAGTTATCGTGAATGTTTAGTGCCGCAACCAAGAAATTATTCGACCGAAGGGCTAATAAGAGTTCGCAATCACACGTCGACATCATCCGAAGCATTGCCATACTTGCCCATTGTTTCGAACGGATAATGAAGCGTTACAGCTGAGCACACCACATGAGTGTGATTTCCTGGGGACAGTTAGCTTTATTCGGTTGTCCACTCATTCAACTGCTACATCCTTTAACAAAGCATCACACCAGGTCATGGAACTCACTTGTGAGAGTGCTTCGATCATAGAAAGCGAGCATTAAATTTCGACGTTCGTCAATCTTCAGCTTACGTTCTTCCCTCCTAGTTCAATTTCATATGTTCACTAAATGTCGATCGGTTCAGGGCCCACTATTCAATACGAAACACTACGAATCTTGGAGCGAATCGAGTTTGAATAAGTTTATCTCAACTAACAGCTAGCTTAAAGGTAGGGATAGTCAGCGTAGTCACGCCGCAAGAACTACTGTCGCGTCTAAGGGGGTGATAGTACTCAAAAGCTGTGGGCTAAGACCGATTAACCTTCGTAGGAATATTGAAACTTAGGAAAACTACGTCAACTTCGGTACAATGCAAACTTACTGTGAAATTTAATGAAATATAATGCCGGTTAAACAGGAGCCTTTGTGGTCGTTAATAAATTGGGGGCACAAAAACTTACCGCCCCCGGAAGAGCAGATAATAACCGAAGCGAATGGGCGAATGAGTTCAAACGGTCGGTGAGTAGAGGCGCACGAAGGGGTGGCGGAGATAGTGTTTGGTGTCGAGGATGGCACGAGACTAGTGATTTATTAGTCGGTGGGCGGAGCCGATGTTGACGAATGTCGAGTGTCTTCTGGCGTGTGACAGTCTTGGGTACAAGAAGTGCAAGGAGTGTAATTAGTTTATCATTCGCAGAAACCCTGCTAAAAACTCAACAGGATACCTCAGGACCCAGCAAACAACCAAATCCAACAGAATTCAATCATACTTTAAACGCCGTTATAGATTAGTTCGGCTGGCATAGTAAGCGATTGAAGAGAATGTATACAGCCTATAACACCACTATGAATGACTGCATTCAGGACAATCCAAAGTAGGCTACCAGGAATGAGCCGCCACTCGATTGATTCCAGGCACTTCCACGGAAATTGGAGGGATCGCGGAAATTCNGGAAATTCTACATAGATGTAGAACCGGGACCACGAATTCCTGGTCCAGTCGACCTTAATCTGTAACCGACTAATAAGATGGTTTCACGTGAGGGGATAATCAAAAGAACTGATGGAGGGTCTCTAAGCAAATAGGTATCAGTACATCAGTACAAGTTGTTCCTGACTACCATGGTTAAAAGGTACAAACGTGAATGATGTTTAAGTTTCGGAAACGTCCAACACTTTGGTGGGGAAGGCACGCAACAGGGTATGAAGTTCATTCAGAGGAAAAGTTTTCAAGAGAGACATCACACATATCAACAGTCAGGCTGGAGAAAGCGGGTAGTCACGTAATCGTTCGGATAACAAAAGCAGATAGAAAACTGAATACATCCAAACCTACCCCCCACCACTCTTTGCGTTATTCACTGCATGTTCCACACGAAGCCTGGAACCAAAGGGGCGACTAGAAGCATAAAATTAACCAAGCACAAAGATTACCTTCCATCCATTCGACGAACCGCACGATCAGCATCTTCTGAATATTTGAAAACAATGAAAGCAAATCCAGGTGGATTTCGAGCCACCCATACATCAGCAATGGGACCGAAACGATCAAACTCCCTCTCTATATCAACCTTTCCAACTCCTGGGTCGACCCCACCAATAAAAACGCGGAAACCATTGAGGGCCCGATCAGGGCGAGGCATTATGAAATTAATTTAATACGCCCGCGGCTGAAGCGGGTTTCAATGTGGAAAACAAATTCAGGTCAGTTCAGTTCAGTTCAGTTGCACAGAACGAATATGGCTCTTGCCAATCGAGCGTCCAGTTCGTTGTGTTGTCGGCGGATGGGATTGGCTTTCAACACTGCGCACGGTTGATTGAGTATTTGTAATCCTCACACTTCAACCCCGTGTCCAGAATTTTGTTTCCTTGGGGGTATGCTGAAAGGGAGGAAAACAAGCAAGGATATCTCCTCGCCTCA